GTTAAAATCAACCTGGAATCAATGTGTAAATAATCAACCTCAGCTTTAAAAACCCTGTATTGGTTCATCTTATTTCCTTATACTAAAGGGGTTCTGATTAAATTATTTTTCAGCTTCTGCAGCAAAAACATGAATTTATCAGTCAGCTTTTTAAACATCTTGACTTAATTGAAAATTCAGCAAAAACTTAAAGGACAAAAAAAATGCATTTATCTATGGAAAAAAAAACATCAGTTAGGTTCTTGGATCATAACCCAATTTTATTCTTTCCTTTCAGCACAAATTCAATGCTTTTTTATTTTGAGGATCAGAGGTAAAGATTGAAAAATCCATTAAAATCTGCATTTTTTGAAATTTCATTTGTATGTCAGAACAATTAAATGATTAATCTTTTACCTCTTAAAGCTGTAAATCAGTTATTTTTTTAATTGCAATGAGGACAAAAGAAAGTAGGTTGGCTCAGGTAACATTTTCCTCCATTGTGCGATGTGAGAGAACAGTTAGTAATCTAAACGGAATTAGTCTGGGTCATCTGCTTGTCCTTTACTCCTAATCAGATCCACAGTGTCTGGAAATATTTTAAAGCAGATCTCATCAATAGCTTTTCTGTAGGTCTCAGGTTCCCTTTAGGTTCTCTGTAACCAAATCAGCCCAATTATGTGTCTTTTTTCTCCTTCTTTAGAAAGAACAATCTGTCATTTCAGCACCATAAGCTGATAAACAACAAACTTCAAATTGGTTCTTAAACATCTTACTACAAAAATCCCAGGTTTTTCTAGAGTCCTCCATCATTTGTATTTGTTTAAAACTATATGTGGACGTATAGATCTACAGAGCCCAGGCTTTAAAGGTATAAAGGACGATCTTTTATTTCCGTGTGGATCATCTAAATAAGTGGTCCTCCTAATTGTCAATCATTCTGGTGATGTGTTTACGTAAGGCCGTCCTACCTGCTCGTCCTGTCAGCCATCTTTTTCTACACATATGCACTTAGGCGTATGTCTGTGGTAAGCTATTGTTTCAGTCATTGAAGTTCACCTTTCTCACCGCTGTTCTTTGAAAATGGCCGACTGTCGGAAGAGAAAAACTTTCTACGAAGTAAAAAAGGGCCTCAGAAGAGGCATATATATCGCAGAATGCTTTGCGCAGAACTCCTCGCATAGCATTAAAGGATACGCTGTCACAGCGGCCCGCTGTCGCCATATCACCGCAAAAAATTGAATCTTAATAAGTAATTTTTTCTTAAAAAAGGTGCATTTTGTCTTGAATTGAGGAGGTAAAAGAGACATTTTGCCAATGGAACAAGACAATTTACATTTAAAAGAAGAAAACACATTTGCATTGTCTTATTTCAAGTGCATATTATCTAATTATCTTATTTTAATAGTAAATACACTCATTCCATTGGCAGATCATCTTGTTCACTTACTGAAATTAAGGGTAAATACACTTAATTTAAGAAAATTTTACTTATTTCTAGATTCGTTTTTGCAGTGTAGACTGTTGTTACCCGACAGCGGCGACTAATAATAATAATAATTGAACTTTATTGATCTCACACTGGAGAAATTTATCTTCTCATTTAACCCATCCTCTTGGGGAGCAGTGGGCTGCCATCATGCGGCGCCCAGGGAGCAGTGTGGGGAGCAAAAAGCAGTGATCATCTGTCCGAACAGTCGGATCATCCATCTATCATCCATCAGTCCTTTATTCATACGTCAATCCATTTGTCTGTAATCCACCCCTCCATTATAATGACTGAGTTCACTATAAGGTTCACTATATAGTCCCTGCTGTATGCGGACACAGTAAGCTTGTATGAGCTATGAGAACAGCATATTTTAAACAGGGCGTGCACGAGGAGAAATGGGCTCGTGCACGCTCTCGCACGCGCATTTTTTTAAAGAGAGGGCAGGTCTTATAAAAAATTCTCCACATTACCTTTAATTATTGGATAAACTAATAGCTAAAGCTGAGAGGAAGAAAGACAAAAAAGACAGAAGGATGAAAACACAGAAAGACGGATGGAGGAAGGGAAAGAATGTGAGAGGGAGGCAGGAAAGGAAACAAGGAAAAGAGAAAGTATTAAATGAAAAAAATGTGAAAAGGAAGGAAGTAGGAGGAAACGAGGAGAGAAACCAAGGGAAGAAGGAAAACTGCAACGAAAGAAGAACATGAGGAAAGGGAGCAAAACATTTAGACCAGGTATACCGCTGTCCTCCAGGTTTTATAGGTTTCCCTGCTTCAGCACAGCTGATTTTCATTGATAGCTAATTAACAGGCTTTTTCTGAACTCTAATTATCAGAATCAGCTGTGCTAAAGCAGAGAAACCTCTCAAACCTGCAGGACGGCGGCCCTCTAGGACCGACTTTGGGCAGGGCGGATTTAGACGACGGTATAAGGAAATGAGTTTGAATTGCAAGAATTTGGCGATGTGATACGAATCAAAATACATTTGACAGATTTTATCTGACTTTGACAGACACACTTCTCCGAAATGAAGGGGAGAAGAAGGGAACCATAAGAGTGGAAAAACTGGGTTTATTATAAACAATATAGTCATGGTAACCCTCAGCATCAATACCATAACATGTTTCTTCTGATATCAAAGAGATCTAAAGTTATTTCCTCATCGGAAGTAGAGATTTAGCTCTTGAGCCTGAAGCAAAGCCTTTTTATTTAGTGTATTTTACTTCTATTTGAAAAAAAAATGTGAGCTGGGTTTGCTCAAACATCTTAAAGAAGGAAAATGTCAAACATGGCAACCAATCAACACCAAACAGCTGGCAGTAAAATGAATATGAAAGCAGAACTTCACAGTCTGATCAAGGTCATTATAAGAAATAAGATCAAATCTACACCAGTGTTGTTTTACACCGTCACAAGTACAACGATTTTCACTCTCTGCATATAAGCCATAACCCAGTGGACTGCCATGGTGCGGCTCCAGGGGAGCAGTGTGGGGTTAAGGGTCTTTCTCAGGGACTCATGTGTTATTTTATACTTTTCTCATTTTTTCCCCAACAGATAAGAGAGAAAGCCTGAATTTAAATGTGTTCATTATTGTCACTGGTCTGATTTAAAGCAATAAAAGCAGCAGAGGAGAGAAAAACCACGAGTCTCCTTCCTGTATGACTTCAATTACATCCATCAGATCCCACAGCAGAGGTTCTGCTGCAGATCCCAGATCAGCTGGAGGACAGCAGCAGCAGCAGGATCATCGATATGCGGCACAGACACCCTCCATCCCCCCCTCCCTGCCTCCCAGCTGCCGCCCGGGGCTCCGGCTCCGTCCCAGCAGCGAGTTAAAGGTGATTTTAATCTGATTTGAATGAGTTAGCATCGAATGAGGAAACGGCTGTCGACGAAGCAGCCAGACAATGAATGGCCGCAGCTCCGCTTAAAAACACGGCGGAGCTGAAACACAAAACCCAGACTGACCCCCAGAAACCGCTCCAGAGGGACACCCAGCCCTCCCCGCGGGCTTTAATCCCGCTTTATCTGCGGCACACACACTCTGCTCCGCCGGGTTAGCTGGAGGAAGAGCCGCGGCTAACACACACACACACACACACACTGAGTGTATTGTCCTCCGCCGCTGCCTCCTTCCAGCTCCCTCAGGACCGCAGCCAGGCTCCATTAGGACCCCCCCACACCAGCATCTCCTGGAATAACCCTTTAACAATAACACCTCCCTCTAAGGCTCGGTTCGGACCAGAGGAAAGCCTTTAAAAACACATCCGCGGCCCGCTAGCGCGCACAGAATCACACACTCACCGCTTGCTGTCCCAGTTCACGATGGGGCGGAACTTCCGGTACTCTGCGCACTCACACGGAGGGCGGGGTCAAATGATCGACGTCATCACTACAAACCACGACCATGATTTTTTTGGTTTTCTTTGATTAGAAA